CAGTGCCACCACTGCCCCCCTGCTCACACCATCCCTGGGGGGGGTTTCCCAGCCCCCCTAAACCCCACACCCCTTTAACATCCACCCCCAAGGTTCCCCCTAAATCCACATCCCCCAAACCTCCTCCTCACCCCAAATCCCCCCAAGGAACCGGGGGGAAGCCCCCTGCCCTGCTGCCCCCCACCTATATAGGTATTGCCGTTCTTCTTGTTGGGGTAGGAGAAGTCGTGCAGGTCCCACATCTCCCGCTGCAGCATGTAGTCAGTACCTGCGACAGGGTGGGGGGGGGGTCAATCCCGCAGCGGGGGACAGCCCCTCGCCCCCCGGCTCGGCACCCGCTCCCCTTGCACACCCGCAGCACGTGAGCACGCCCGCGGCCATAGGCGTGCAGGTGCACACGGACACGCTCAGCCACACGCAGAGGGTGTGCACGGGTGTGTAGATAAGCACATGCAGAGATGCACACGTGTGATACGTGGAGGGCACACAGGCACGTCCTCATGCACAAGCGTGCGAACACGTGCGTGCATGCTCCAGTGCGTGTGTGCACTCACCGGGCACGTAAGCACACACAAGCACGCATGCACACGTGTGCTCCAATGTGCATGCGCACACAGATGCCCGTGCCCACGTGCGATGCACGCACGAGGAGATGCCCCACGGGGGTACGGGCACCACGCATCCCTGGGGAAGGGGGCTGCCCACCCCTGCCCCTCCCCAGGCACACGCACCTTGCCAGTTATAGGCACCGGGAGCCCCAAAATAGATGACGTTGGCGGTGAAGCCGGCACTGATGCCCATTTGGCACATGCCGGTCTCGTCGGTGTCCGTGTTGGAGTTGCACATCTCGTTGTGGTAGGTCTGCCACTCGTCGCTGATGTTGAGGCGCAGGTCATTGCCCCGCACGTAGCACTTGCCCACCATGCGTCGCTGGTCCTCGCTGCCCGACCACAGCACCTTGGTGTAGCGGTGAGCGCAGGCCTGCCGGGACAGCCCGGCACCTGCCTCCGCACCTGCAGCACCCCCAACAATCAGGGGCTAA